GATACCCCCACATGCCTCTGACATCCACAAGGCTGCTGCCTTAGATGGTCTCTGAGCCAGTCTGGGCCAAGCTGAGGCTGGGGGATTACCCGCAAAGGTTGAGTCAGCAGCTTTGGCCCCATTGTCCAGCCAGGCTCTAGGGCTGCACCCTGGCCCCTCACACCTGCTTTCATGGCCCCTCTATGGACCCTTCCCCCATCCCACATGGAGGGCTCTGGGCCTACACTGAGGATATCAGGATCAGGAACAGGGAGGCAGGATCCCAGCACCCTGGGGCTGCCCCCTTCCTCTGTGAAATGCCCCCTGCCCACTCTGAGCTACAGGGGAAGGTGAGAATGTGCTGAGCTCTAGAAAATGCCTTCCAGGCCTGGCATGCACCGACCAATGGGTGTGGCCAGAATTCAGCCAGTACCATTCTCTGGGTGGAAATGGAGGAGCTGCCAATGAGCTGCCAATTCATGTGAGTGTAGGTATGTATGTGCCATGATCCCTATGTGGAAGTCAGAGGACAATTTTCAGAAATTGTTTCTCATTCCAGGTATGGTGGCCCATGCCTTTAATCCCAACATTTGGGAGGCAGAGGCAGGCAGATCTCTGTGAGATTGAGACCAACCTGGTCCACATAGCAAGTTCCAGGCCAGCCAGGGCTACAAGGAAATCCTGTCTCAAAAAAAAAAAAAAGGTAGTTCTCTTCTACTCTGGGTTCTAGGGATCCAGATCAGGTCATTAGGGTTGATAGCAAGTGCTTTTTTACCTGCTGAGCCATCTCAACAACCTGAGATCAACCTTTCTTAATCTCAGGTAAAGGCATTCAATCATTGAGACTATGTAACCCAGGTTGGCCTTGAACTCCTGCCTCAGCCTTTGAAGTATAGGGATGACAGGCATGCAACACCACACAGGTGTCAATTCCTTTGCCATTTTTTCCCCCTGTGGTGATGAGGATAGAACCCAGGGTCTTAAACATGCTAGGCAGGTGCTCTACGACTGAGCCTCAGCCCCTCACTGGGGGATTCTAGGCAGGGGAGCTACCACTGAGCCACACCCCCAGCTCTTAGTATTTAGTGCTAAAGCTGAGTTCAGGAGCTCATGTGACAGGCCCAGCACTCTAGAGGCTGAGGCAGTGGGTCATTTGATGAGCCCAGGAGTTAGATACCATTCTTGGCAACATAGCAAGATCATGTCTCAAACACAGAAAGCTGGACATGGTGGCACATGCTTTTAATCACAGCCCTTGGGAGACAGAGGCAGGCAAAACTCAATGAGATCAAGGCCAGCCTGGTCTACATAGCAAGTTCTAGGCCAGCTGGGGTTACGGAAAGACCCTGACTAAACAAACCCCAACCAAACCAAAAAAAAAAAAAAAAAAAAAAAAAAAAAGGCCTGGGCCTGTAAGATGGCTCAGCAGGTAAAGATGCTTGCTGCCAAACCTGATATCTGGGTTCAATCCCCAGGGCCCCCATAGTGGAAGGTGAAAACTACTCATAAAAGTTGTCCTCTGATCTCCATACAACTACCACAACTTTTTTTTTAGTATAAAAACCAAAAAGATTTTAAGTAAGTCAGTTGTCTTTTGTTGCTATTTGTTTGTTTGATTTTGAGACAGGGTCTCTATAGTTTAGGCTATCCTAGAACTTACTATGTATCCCAGACTTACTATGTATCCCAGGCTGGCCTCAAACCCAAAGCAATCCTCCTGCCTCAACCACCTAAGTGAAAATGGTGAGATTTGCAAGCATGAGCCACCACACCCAGCTATTTATTTGTTCTTTTTAAAAAAAAATATATATATATATTTCTTAGTTAATGTGTATGAGTGTTACGCCTGCATGTATGTAAGTGCACCTGTGTTGTGCAATGCCAGCTGAGGTCAAAGGCAGCTTTACAGATGGTTGTTAGCCACCATGTGGGCACTGGAATTTGAACCCAGGTCCTCTGCAAGAGCAGCCAGTTCTCTTAACCACTGAACTATCTCTCCAGCCATCTCTCTTCTTAAGTGAAGGTTTTGCTGTGTAACTCAGGCTGTCCTTGAACTTGTGGTCCTTTCTCATCCTCCCTGGTATCAGGAACACAGGCTTGTACCATCATACCTGGCTAGGCTGTCCATCTTTTTTTTTTTTTTTTTTTTTTTTTTGTTTTTTTTAGACAGGGGTTCCCTGTAGCCCCAGCTGTCCTGGAACTCACTATGTAGACCAGGCTTGCCTTGAAGTCACAGAGATCCTCCTGCCTCTGCCTCCCGAGTGCTGGGATTAAAGGCGTGCACCACCATGCCCATCTTTTATACATGGTCTTAATCCCTTTCCTGGTTTGCTGAGAATGACAAATAGGGTGTCTCTCAGTATCTGTTTTTCTGTTCTTATTCCATATCTAAATCCTCTCTTCCTATCTTTCTCTGTCTCACCCCACCCCCCGCCTGTTTTGCTTTCCCTCACTCAAGGGGGTGTAGCCATGGGAAACTGAGTTTATGGGGTGGTACCAACCCAGGCCACCTCCATAAACACAGGACATCCTGCGGGGGTGGAAAAGAGGGGGGAGGTGGAAGTAGCCCTCCTGAGACCACATCTGGCCCAGCTTGAGCCATGCAGGACGTCAGCCTGCTCTGCCACACCTAGTGTGGCTCGGGGACACTGATGTCTCCCTAAGGTTCACTGGTCAGGCCCTTTCCTAGTCCCCTAACTCTCTGGGGAGTCCAGTCTCAATGCCTTCCCCTGGGTGTCCCCAGCCTCTTGCACATATGGCATCACACCCTGGCCTCAGCATCAACCCAGATCCTTACTTACCTGGTCCTTACTCACCTGAGTGGTCTCCGGGACGGAGTCCTGAGCCTTCTCAGAGACCCTTTCTCCATCGTAGCCTGCATCCCACAGCTTGCCCAATGGGTACCCTCCCTCCATGTCTCTTCGTCACTTTTCCTGGTGTCTGCTCCACAACTCCCTGGGCTCTGGAGCTCCAGCATCACCTCCCACCCCCTATGCCCACCTGCAGCTGGCAAGACCCCTTTCCTTATCACCTCCCTAGTGTTTTCACAGTAAGGTTCCCCACTCAAGGCCTGTGTGCCCTGGCCCCTGGTGCCCTCCCTTCCTAGTCTCATCACTGAACTTACTGCTTTCTTCCTCGTCCTAGCCAAACCCAGCTGCTTAAGCAACCCCTGAGAATGTAAGACCCATCACATCTCAGCCCTTTGCAAATGTCCTAGAATAGTAACCCTCAAAGGTGGATATCATTACTGTTCCAGTTAATAGATGAGAACTGGGAGGGAGGCTCAGAGAAGTTAAGCACTTCACCTAGAGTCACACAGCCCCAGCAGGACAAAGTTGAGGTTTAAAACCAGGTAGGAACCAGGTCTGGTAGCATAGGCCTGTAATCCCAACTAGTCAGGAGGCAGAGAGAGGAAGATCAAGAGTTGGAAGCATGCCAGGGCTATAGATAGAGAGACTACATTTCAAATTAAAATGTAAAAAAGAGGGCTGGGCCTGGGGCTGGACATGATGGTGCACATCTTTAATCCCAGCACTCAGGAGACAGAGGCAGCCTGTGAGTTCAAGGTCAGCCTGGTTTACATAGGAAGTTCTAGGCCAGTCAGGGCTACATAGTGAGAATCTGTCTCCCCCAAAAGACTGGTTGTATAGCTCAGTGGTAAAGTGCTTGCCTGGTATGCACAAAGCCCTAGGTTAGTCCTCAGCACCACAATAAACAAACAAATACACAAACAAACCCAGGTGGTCTAGCTTTCAACACCTAGTTTAAACTGTTTTTGTTATTTTTATATGTATAATGTTTTGCCTACATGTATATAAGTGCACCATGTGTGTTCCTGGTGCCTGCAGAGGCCAGAGGACAGTATCAGATGCCCTGGAACAGGAGATATAGATGGTTATTAGCTGCCACATGGGTGCTGGGAACTGAACTTGGTTCCTCTGCAAGAGCAGCCAGTGCTCTTAACCATTGAACCATTTCTCCAGCCCCTCAACACCTGTTTTAAGGACACTGCCTGAAGTTCATTGTTTCCACAGCATCTTTGAGCATTGTTACATTTTTGCAACATGGTTTCCCCTGTGACTGACCAGTGATGTTCCCTGTCCCCAGTGCCTCTTAAGTACAGCTGTACAGATTCTACACTGCACATCTGTTCTTTTTTAGAGAGGCATGTCCAAGGTACCACGCATTTACTCTTTTACATCTCCTGGCAGATGGAAGCCAAAAGCCTAAAGGAAGGGCATGTGCTATGTAGAAAAGCAACGTACGGGCTACACCAGCCCTGGCTCTATCTTTCTGACACCCTTGAGGTGATAATCAGCTTGTAGCTGATGTCCTGTCCCTCTTTCCTTTGGTCTGATCTCCAGATGGTTGAGCAGACTCTAGTACACTGCTGACACTCGGGTTCTACTCCAGAAGACCACGCCCCCTAAGCTAGCAGATTCCAGGGCCCACAACATTCCAAGCTCAGCTCTGGCCCTGGCTCTGAGACTTCTTTTCACAGAGCCTTTGTGTATTCATCCCACAACACCCCCAGACCAGCTCCCCTCCACAGGCATTCAAGGGACCCCCACCACCACCTTACCCACTTCTTTCCACTGACACAGTCCTTAGCCACTTTTTTCTCTCTCCTTCCTTCGTTTTCTTTACTCATTCAGCAGTTGTGCGCTGACCCTGATAAAAGGGACATCTAACCCAGGAGGCTGAGGTAGGAGGATTGCTGTGAGTTCAAGGCCAGTCTGAACTACATATCGACACCCTGTCTCAAAAAAAATCCCAAACGAACAAAAAACCACACAAAACAAACGGGGCATGGTGGTGCACACCTTTAGTCCCAGCACTCAGGAGGCAGGTGTAGGAGGATCTCTGTTTGAGGCCACTGGGGCTACAGGGAGACCCTGTCTCAAAAAGAACCCCCGCAAAAAAAGCATCCTGTAATCCCGGCCTTTAGGAGGATCAGCAGTTCCAGGCCAGCCTCAATTAGACAGTAAGTTGGAGACTAGCCTAGGCTACATGAGATTCACCTAAGACAAACAAAGCGGAGACCCACACTAGACTCATCTTCATGGCATCGCAGATCCCCAGACCGGGCACAAGGGGGAGCTGCAGAAGTCAGCAAGGGTTCCCAAGGTCTCGGTCTCTGGCCCGTGGTCTAGGGATGGGAGTCACCGGGGTTTGGGTTCAGGTGCTCGAAAGACCCTCAGCCTGGTACCAGCTTCCTGCATCGACGTCCACCCGCCTCCCGGGTTGGCCCGCCCCAGCCAGTTCCAGAAATGGGCACAGCTTCCTCCGCTCCTCCAGGAAGCCAAGTTCCGCCCGCCCCTTCCCGGCCCCGGGGGTTGCGCTCAACTCCCGCCTCTCCAGCTCCACCCCGACTGCAGCTTTTCGGAGCTTCCGGCCCAGGGGAGGCCTTGGAGTGGCCCTCGGGTGTCGCTGTCCCCTGATCCAGGGCCCAGCCTGCCCCTTGGCTGGCCGTCCATCCCTCAGTTCCGCCCTCCCACCCTCCCAGCCCACAGCCCCGGGCCCTGCCCAGCCCCCACGGCCGCCAGGAAGGACGCAGCCCGGTCCCGTGCCAGGCCTGTGAGTGTGCGGCCCCTCCCAGCCAGGCCAGGAATGTGGCTGGACCGCGGGGGCGGCCGCAGACACCCGGCTCCGGCCCGGCCCAGCGCTGCTCGCAGGCAGGCAGGTGGCCCTGGCTTGCCCAGGCCTGGGTTACTTCTAGAAGGAAAGCCAGCTACCACCCCCCAAAGCTGTTTTCTTCTCCCCGCCCACCAAGCTTAGAGGCTTTATTTGGGGGACATCCTAGAAGCTGCCCTGTCCTTGGCCCAGAGTAGATTTAATTTTATTTTTACTTTTTGCCTTTTTGAGACAGGGTCTCATGTAGCCCAGGTTGGGCTTAAACTATGTATCATAGGCTGGCCTTGAACCCCTGGATCAGGGGTTCCCTGCCTCACCCCTTTCAAAGGCTGTGAACCACCTCACCTGGCTAAAATCTGATTTTTAAAAAAAGTAGCCCAGGGCTTCCCAACTTGGGCACACACAGACACAATATGGAAACCTGACTATGTTTTGGGGAGTAAATGCACATATCCATCTTGGGGGTTGGGGAGTCACAGGATTACAGGGGCTGACACTTCAGGCATTCAGAATTGAGCCTGGACTGTCATATTAGATGCTGTTTCACCCTTGATTATCCCTGACACAAAGAAGCACACAGACTTGATATTTTCCAAAAATGGTTTTAATTTCAAAAATTGGGCTGAGGTGTCTTCCCACATCAGGGAAGATGGAATAGCCCAGACTATCATCCCAAGGGATCAGTCCAGCCTGGGGCCTGGCCCACACACACTGCAGCCACCAGGCCCTGTCTTTCCATCACTGAAGTCCAATCCCCAACTCCCTCACCAGTCCAAGATAGGAAGATGGATGTGAAGTTGCCCAGGACTTGATTCTGTCTCTCCAAAGTGGCCCTGTCCTTCCTGTGTAAGGGAAAGATGCCTATGCTAGGCCAAGGTGGACTGGTCCAGCCACCAGGCTCAGCTCAGATGCCAGACAACCATCCCAGCCCCAGGGGTCAGCGACCAGGCCCTGGAGGCCGCTCCAGTGCCTGTGTGCCCACTAGCACATCCATGAGGTAGTCCAGCTCAGCCTCGTCCAACTCTGGAGTTTCATCCTTGGCTGGCCCATTCTCAGGGCTGGGTTTGAGACCCTCAGAGGCTGGTGCCCAAAGTTCACTGTCATACATAGAGGTGTCAATGTCCTCAAAGAGGCCTTCAAGCCCATCCTCCAGCAGACAGCTAGTGGCTGGGCCTAGCAGGTCCAAAGCACCCAGGTTGGGTGGGGCCCCCCCAACAGAGCGGCCAGGAGGCCCCTCATCTGCTTGGAGTTGGGGGGCTTGGTTCAGGTCCTCAATATGGCTGAGATCCTCTAGGAGGCTGGCCACGGAGGCTGAGAGACCAGCATCAGAACTAGACAGTAGGCTGTCAGCTACAGTGGGCACTGTGGGCTGGATGGGCACTGGTGGCAGAGCAGTTGCAGGTACCATGGATGCCTGGATGCGCCGCAGTGTATTCACCACCAGTACCAGGTGCCGGAGGTCAGGCTCACTTTGCCGCAGGCTGTGGTGGAGCTTGAGCACCGAGAGGTCGAAGAGTGAGCTGGAGGCCACTGGTGGAGGGGTCTGTGCTGCTGCTGGGTGGCCCTGATCCAGCCACCAGGAGTCCACTGCCAGGGCTTCCTTCTCCTCCTCCTCCCGCTTGCGCTTTAGACCCTTGCTCAACATCATCTGAAAGGGGAGAAGGAGCCATCCAGTTACACAGAGCAAATATTCAGTTCATACCCTGGCTGACAACTGCTGTCAGTGTGATTTTGACAAGTCACTTAACCTCTCTGAAGTCTAGGTTTTCTAAGAACTTTTTTTTTCTTCAGTTCTTCAGTTTTTGGCCTGGAACTCCCTATGTAGACCAGGATGGCCTTGAACTCACAGAGATCCACCTGCCTCTGCCTCCCAAGTGCTGGCATCAAAGGCATGTACTACCATACCTGGCCACTAAGAATTTTTTTAAAATGAATGTTTTGCCTTCATGTATATAAGTAAATCTGATACATACAGTGCCCACAGAGGACAGAATAGAATGTCTGATCCCCTGGAACTGGAGTTATGGATGTTAGCTGCCATGTGGGGCTGGGGAATGACCATCTGTCCAGCCCCAGATTTTTTTTTTTTTTTTTTTTGGTCTTTTTGAGACAGGGTCTCCCTGTAGCCCCAGCTGTCCTGGAACTCACTATGTAGACCAGGCTGGCCTTGAACTCACAGAGATCTGCCTGCCTCTGCCTCCCTAGTGCTAGGATTAAATGTGTGCGCCACCACGCCTGGCCAGCCCCAGATTTTTTTTAAAAAATACTGGGTCTCATATCCCAGGCTGGCCTCAAACTTGCTATGTAGCCAAGGATGCCCTTGAACTTCTGATCCTCCAGTATCTGCCAACATACCTGGTATATGTGGTGACAGAACCCAGGGCTTGATGTATGCTAGGCAAGTACTGTCAACTGAGCTACATCCCAGCCCCCTAAGCAAACTTTTACGATGTGGGTAATAGTTATAAGTTGTTATAAGAACTAAATGAAATGAAGAAAAAGCATTTGCTTTTATAACCAGGTACATGATAATTAATACTTTCAAGTTTTAAATTTTTATTATTTTCAATTATGTATCTGTCTGTGTGTAGGTATATGCACTTGATTGAAGGTGCCCTTGGAGGTTGGAGGTACACCTAATGTGGGTGGCTAGAAACTGAACTCCGGCCATCCTCTGCAAGAGCAGCAAGCCCTCTTAACTGCTGAGACATCTCTCCAGCCTCAGTAATTAGTACTTATTAATAAGTACTTTTTGATTTTGCTTTTTTAAGACAGGGCTTCATGGTGTAGCCTGAAACTCGAGGTTATCTCCTGTTCTCAGCCTCCCTAGGGCTAGGATTACAGGCGTGCACCACCATACCCGGCTTCACCTCCTGACATGCACAGCTGTCTTATACAGTTCTCCTTTATATCAAACAAGAAATAACCAAATACAGGAACTATCCCAGATAGTGATAGGGAGATACCATCCTGGAGGCGACTGGGGCAGGTTTGTATATGGTGGTGACATTGGCGCCAAGCCATGATATAGAAGGTGGAGGTTTTGGAAGAACCAGGGGCAAAGCGTTCCGGGAAGAGGTAAATAAAGAATAAGAGCCTGTGCTCAAAAAAATCCGGAGCAGGAGCAGGAGCAGTGTGGTTGGCGCTCAGAGGGACACGGTAGGAGTTGGGGGTGGGGAGCAGGCAGGAGGTGCAGGCTGGGGTAGGAAGCTGGGATTTTCAGAGTGGCAGGCCAGAGTCAAGGAGGTGGGTCGGACAGAGGATCCCGGTGACTTGCCTGGTGAAGGGCGGAGGGGATGGGTGGGGGTGCGGGTTTGTGGGGAGAAGTGGGCTGCTGAAACTCGCTGGGACGCTGGCATTCAGAGTCTAAACTGGTAGTAACCGAGCAAGAAAGTTGGTGGACTCAGTACTCATTCAAGAGACAGATTAGAGGCGGGTGTGGGGGGGATCCTGATGGGGAGCGGGAGTCAGTCGTGGACAGAAGTTTAAAGACCCATTACTTTTTCCCAGGGTGATGGGAGGGGCCTGGACTTTCGGATCCCTTAGCTCAATCTATGGGGGGAGGCTAGAAGGCTGCGGGGTTCCACCCTCGGGATGCTGACTAGCGAGATCAGATAAGTGACCTGGCAGAAACGTAAAATCCAGTCCTTGCCCTCTTTGCTGAAGACCCGGGAGCCGGGAACCGCAGGAATTCAGCAATGCCCCCCCGCGACTCCGCCCCCTCCCGGGTCCCGGCGCCCCCTAGCGGTACCCGGGCCTGCATGCCGCGCCCCCCATTCCCCGGGATTCCGGGCCCCTCGGACCCCGGGATCCTTTTCACTACCCAGCGTCCCGCCTATGCCTCCCCGGGCCGTGTGAGCCGGGACCGGGAGGGCAGCTCAGCGCTCTGGGCCTCCCCTCGCTTCCGGAAGGTAGCGGAGGCGGCTCCTCCCGAAGCGGCGGCGGCAGCGGGGGCGGGTGAGTCACGCAGCAGGAGCCATGGAGCCGGCGCCTCCGCCCCCTTCTGGGGCTCCGGTGTGATTCACCCAGCCCGGCACGTACAGGCTCCGGGCGTCCCGGTCCCGGGTAGCCCCGGAGAGCAACTCCCTAAGCAAGGGATCGAACACGCCAAAGAACCCCAGCCGCTGGTACCCCCGTCTCTCCCCACCAGGCCCCTTCATTTACATACCCAGATAACTCGCTACCAATCAGAACGTAGAGGGAGCCACCGACAGCCAATCAGGAAGCGGCAGCGGCAGCATCGCTGGCTCACTCTCCTCCCGCAAGCGAAGTCTGGGTCGCTAGACGCTGTTCTGACTCCCGGCGCACCACCGGACACTTGACTATCCTTAGTTCCCGCCCACTCGCGTGGCGGCCCCGCCCTCCGTCCTGGGGATTGGCTCTTGGTGGTGATGGGCGGAGCCTTGGTGGGGCGGGCCCCGAAGGAGGGGAGGTTGGCTTTAAGACGCATGCCCGGGCAGCTGCTTAAGGAAAGCAGCCAAGACTGGTAGTGATTTCCCCTGTCAAACGGTGACAGGTAGGGGCTTTTGGGCAGGGTCTCCCTCTAGCTCCAGCTGGTCTGGAACTCTTTATGTAGACCAGGCTGGCCTCGATCTCACGAGATCTGCCTGCCTTTACCTCCTGAGTGCTGGGATTAAAGGCGTGCACCACCACGCCCGGTGCTTCTGAACATTTTAAGGTCACTTGTGTGATCTTGGAAAAGTGCTGTGAGGCCTACAAAGTCTACAAAGTCTGTAAACTCTACGTACATCTTGAAAGTCATAAATGTTAAAATAAGGCTATCTCAGTAGGAGACAGATTTAGCTGCTGACAGATGGACCCAGATGTAGCTAAAGACAGGAGTAAGGAGGGGACAGAATGTCACTAGGGTCACATTCCTGGCTTCTGTTCGGGAGTAGCTGTATGGCCTTGGGTAACAGTTTCCTTCGGGGCATGATGGCTTCACACCTTTAATCCCAGCTCTCAGAGGCAGAGGCAGGTGAATCTCTGTGAGCTTGAGACCAGCTTGGTCTACATAGAGACCAGACCAGCCGGGGCTGCAGGGAGACCCTGTATCAAAAATCAAACAAAAACAGTAGAACACTGGGCCAGAAAGATGGCTCAGTGGGCAAAGGTGTCTGCTGCAAAGTCTGATGATCGGAGTTCAATCCCCAGGTCGCACAAGTAAAAAGGGAGAACCTACTCCCTCAGGTTGTCCCCTGACTTCCACTTCTGTGCCATTGTGCGCACACACACACACACACACAAACTTAAATATATAAATAATATTTTAAAAGCTACTCTATAAAATAGCTAGGCATGGTGGCAGAGGCAGGAGGATCTCTGTGAATTCAAGGCCAGCCAGGGCTACATAGTGAGACGTTGTCTCAAAAGAAAAACAAAACAAAAGGAAAAAGCATTTAAAAAGAACATCAAGATGTTTGCAAATAACTGTATTGGTTTTGGAAAACCACACACACACACCACACATGCACAGGCACTGGTGTAGATCAAGTAAGGGAGCAGAATATGTTATCAACTATTGATTAAATCTAGTTAGGAGGGTAAGTGGGTGCCCAAAAAACCTTTTCCTCCCTCCTTTTCTCCCACCTCCGTCCTTCCTTCCTTTAGAAACAAACAGTATCAGCCAGGCAAACAGGTAGATTTCTCTGAGCTTCAGGTCAGTCTGGTCAGCATAGGGAGTTCCAGGCCAACCAGTGCTACATAGGGAGAACCTGTCTTAAAAAAAAAAAAAAAAAAAAAACTAAAAAGCTAGCTGGTTATGGTGGTGTATGCCTTTAATACCAGCACTCAGGAGGCAGAGGCAGGCGGATCTCTGTGAGTTCGAGGCCAGCCTGGTCTACATAGTGAGTTCCAGAACAGCTGGGGCTACAGGGAAACCCTGTCTCAAAAAGACAAACAAACAAACAAACAAACAAATCAGTGTATCAGGTAGCCCAGACTGGCCTTGAACTTGCTATGTAGCTGACATGACCTTGAACTTGTAATCCTCCTGCCTCTGCCTCTCTGAACACTGGAATTGCAGTCATGCAGAACCACACCAGGTTTATTCAGTGCTGGGGATCAAACTAGGAGCTTTGTGTAAGTTAGACAGCACTCTACTAACCCAGTCAGATCCCCAGCCCCACATCTTTTCTATGGATTTGAACTTTTCTCATATTAAAAAGAGACTAATAATTGCTTGCTGGCCTTTGGACTGAGGTCAAAAGAGAATAGTATGTTCATTGAGACTAGGCTCTTGCTAGGTGAGCCCACAGAATTTCCTACAAAGTCATTTTATTTTATTTTATTTTATTTTATTTTGTTTTGTTTTATTTTGTTTTATTCTGGCTGGCCTGGAACACTCTATGTGAGCCAGGTTGGCCCTGCCTTTGCCTCCAAAGTGCTGGGATTAAAGACATATGCCACTATGTCTGGTTACACAAGTCTGTTTTTAAGGCCCATCAAAATAAGAGGCTCAGAAAGAGCTGGGCATGGTAGCACACCCCTATCATCCCAGCACACTGGAGACAGAGCTGGAGGATCAGGAATTTAAGGTCAGCCTGTGCTACTTAGCTCAGAAGTTAGAGTGGCTCACTCTAAAGCCACACACTAAATAGCTCATAGGAGTCATTTGATTAGCATGCATTGATTATCAGTTTCAGATGGGCACTACTGTATACAATAGGCACAATAGCCCTGCATAGGCCATACAGTCTTTCATCTCCTGGGTCAGGAGGGAGGGTGAAGATAAAAAAGAAAGCAATTTAAACAGGCTGACTCCTGTAATCCAACCACTTAGGAATCTGAGGCAGAAGGATGTAGAGCTTGAAGCCAGTCTGGACTAGAAAATCAGACTCTGTCTTTAAGAACAAAGCACAGGGGCTGTGGTGGCACATGCCTTTAGTCTCAGCACTTGGGAGACAGAGGCAGGAGGATCTCTGTGAGTTTGAGGCTACCCTGGTCTCCATAGTGAATCCAGGCCAGCTGTGGCTACAAGGAATCTCTGTCTCAAAAAGACCAAAAAACAGAAACAAAAAATCCCCCACCAAAGCACAGGGACTGGAGAGATGGATCAGCGGTTAAGGACACTGGCTGCTCTTACAGAAGACCAGCACCCACATGGCAGCTAACAACTGTCCGTAACTCCAAATCCAGGGGATCCGATGCCCTCTTCTGACCTCTGTGGGCACTGCATGACACGAGTGCACTTACACACATGCAAGCAATACACTCATGCACACAAAATAAAAATAATAAATAAAATATTTTTTAATTAAAAAATAAATCCAAACAATGACAACAAAATAGGGCCAGCAAAATGGCTCAGCAGGTTGAAGTGCTTGCCACTAACCCTGGTGACCTGAATTTGATGCCCAGAACCCACATGGTATAAGGAAAGAACTGACTCCCTCAAGTTTCCATCTGGCTTGTCACACACACACACACACACACACACAATGTTTAAAAAACAATTAGCCTGGCATGGTGGTGCCCGCCTGGTCTACATAGTGAGTTCCAGGCCAGCTGGAGCTACTGGGAGACCATCTCAAAAAGACCGAAAACAAACAAACAAAAAAACAAAAAATAATTAGCAACAACAGTGACAACAGAAAGCTAGGTATAGTGGTGCCTGCAAGTAATTCAGCACTGCAGAAATGGAGGCTGGAGGATCCGGACTTCAAGGCTCCATGCTGAGTTTAAATCCAGGCAGGGCCACACCTTGCAGGGAAAACCCGGATACATAAGTAAATGGAAAGGAAAAGGAAAAGGGTCTCTGAAGTGATGATATTTGATTCGTTTGCTTGAGACAGGGTCTCACTTAGCCCAGGCTGACCTAAAACTGTTTACATAGAATGACCTTGAGTTACGGATCTTACTGTCTTTACCTCCCCATTGCTGGGAGAAGAGGAAAGAGGTGACATTGAACATTGAAGTAGACACCAAAATGACAGGTAGCATAACTCTAAAGAAGTGTTCAGAGGGCAGGGTAGAGCCAGTGCAAAGGCCCTGAGGTGCTGTGTGTCAGGTGAGTAAGCCAGTAGAGCTGGCTTGGAAACTCCCAGAGAGGAAGTTAGAGAAGTTGCTAAAAGTTTTCGACCACTCTGTGCATCTTTGTCCACATTCAACCAAGACCCTGGAAAGTGACTAAATGAGAAAAAGTATTTCCACTTCTGCCTTGAAGGAGACTGAGCAGGGTGGGATGACAGAGGCCTGGGAAGAGGTGCCTGCAGCCGGGGTGGTCTGAGGGAGCCTCCCCAGGAGGCGACATTGGAAACGGGACCAAAAAGTGGAGAAGAAGCCAGGAATTCAGCGATGGGGGGGCGGGGGCGGGGAGCGGCTAGGCCTCGAGAAATGAAACCAGAAGCGAAGCCACCAGGCCAGGCAGGCGCGGAGGGGGGG